TCATATGTATATACTGTATTCTATACTATTCTACTGTATCTTAGTCTATGCTGCTGTGACATTGCTCGTCCATATATTTATTTATATATTCTTAATTCCATTGTTTTACTTAGATTTGTGTGTATTGGGTATATGTCGTGAAATTGTTACATATTACTTGTTAGATATTGCTGCACTGTCGGAGCTAGAAACACAAGCATTTCGCTACACCCGCAATAACATCTGCTAAACACGTGTATGTGACAAATACATTTGATTTGAGAATGGTTGAGAACTGAAGCATCCCTTTCTCTATAAGCCTCTGGGTCAGACTCCACTGAACCTTCACCAGCTCATAATGATGACACAACCTATGCATCAGCAGATCTACTAGCATTAGCCAATAGTCTCTGGGCCTCTATGTGGACAGTTGAGGAAAGTTTAGGTCTGGTGGTGAGGGAACTAGTTTTTCAGGCCAACCCAACCTTAACATCAACATAATCCACATTTACTGAAGGAGACAAACTGAGTTAGACTGGAAAACAAATAACTTGTAGCTGATAAAATGTGGGGGGTGGTTTAAATTTGTAGAGGGAGGTAGGCTGTGACCAAGCCAGAGAATTACCATAGTAAGTGAGTGAGAAGCAGTGTGGTGCCGCTATATAACCCAGCAGCACGCTCTCTTCCTGCTACTAACGACTCCAGAGGTGTAATGAAGACAAACCCAGGCAGAAATTAGCAGCGACAGTAACTAAAACATTGATAAATAAGCCACTAATAAAAAGGAGGAGTGGGGCAATGTAGGGGGTAGAGAGAGGAGAAGGGACGTGATTAGTACAGTGCACGGTGCAGAAACGTGACGATTTATCTGTCTCGTCTCGTATTTTCTCAAGACACACTGAAAACAGCAATGGCCAATGGTAAATGGATTTGCCTAGAAAAATCTATCCCCCATATGACCGTGTGCATGTATGTCTGTGTCTTAACCGCACGTTGAACCCTCACTGTTCTTTTCCCCCTGCTGATCCGACTAATATCCTTCGCCTGTATGACTTATCTGTGTGTACCGCGTGTGCACCGTCCTACGCTCTGAGAGCACGCCATGATTGATGGGCTTTGCAGCCACACAAAAAAGAAGAGCCCAAGACAAATGGGGGTCACACAAGACTTATTAAAACAACAATTCTTATGATAAGCAAAACACTTAGGAAAATTAAACTTATACATTCTAATTTTCATTAAATTATTTTTTAATGAGAACATTCATCTTGCGAGAATCTATCCAATTAATTTCACAGTAACCTTTTCTTATAAGCAGGCCGTTTTTTTTATCATCCATTTATATTTTCCAAAAACATGAGGCTGGATAAAACTGTACATTTAAAAATCTGAATATTCCAATAGAAACCCCAGTCATCTCAACAGTGAAGGCCTAACGGAGTGATGTGAATGGGGAGGAAACAGCCCCAGCAGAGGGGGCAGAACTGATGGTTTCATAAGGGGGGTATCAGTAATGTGTACCCCCGCCTACACTCCCCCCCCTCCTCCAGTGTGTGTGGAGGTTATCAGTTAGGTGTGCCCCTGTCGTGGCCTCGCTCTCTCCGTATGACGGGCAGCCCTGGAGGATAATAAAGAGTGATGATGCTGATGTTGTGCCATCCACCTCCCTCAACATCCCCCCCACCTCCCCTATCCTCTCTTGCAGAACCCTTCGCCCCTTCATTTATCACCTCTCCCCCTCCTCCCTGCCCCCCCCCACTCTAATTCTGGTTTAATAACCGCCGCCTCCATTCATCACAGTATCGATGGCTCTGACAGGCCGGTGGCGGCTAACGCTAGCTCCCCTCTCCTTTCCTCACGTGTGGCCGTGGGGTCACCGGGAGGTCAGGCTGTCAATAAGTACGTCCTGCGCCATTGTTCCTCGGAGTAAGATGCTGAAATGCACACACGAACACCCACACATCGTCAGTCAAGTGGACTGTCTTGTTTGAAAAGCAACAAGCAAGACACAAATACCAAGTCAAACACACGTTGAAAGGATCAGTCTCAAAATGTAAAATTATGCACCTGAGGAACATCAGAATCAATAAAGGCATCAAACTGGACTATCTTGAGGGGTTATTGTCTTACCCCGTTTACTATATGCTGAATACACTGTACATAATATGTTTGTCTTACCTATGAGCAACATTTGTGTCAAAATGGGTGGATGGAACACCGCGACATAAAAACAAACCCCTCTATTGTCAGCCTCCATCATGCCAGGCAGTTTGTTCACCGCTGCACAGCTTGGGTTTGTGGCAGAGAGACAGGACAGCAGCTGAACTTCACCCAGACCCATAACCAGGGCCCATGACAGTACACAGGGGGGTGCTTGCAGAGGAGTGTGCGTGTGTTGTACCGCAGGACTCTAATTCACAGAGCGCATCCTATTGGCAAAGCTCATTGAGCTAATTAATAATGCAGCACAGAACAGAGAGGGATGGGAGTCATTAGGGAGCTGCGGCTGTGCTCTCAGCCCTGTGGTGGAGCGCCACTGTGTGTGTTTGTGTGTATGAGAGAGATAAAGAACGCAAGGGAGCTTCTGTGCGTGTTTGCAATTGTATTATAGAGAAGTGTGTGAGAGAGGGGGGGGGATGTGTGACTCGCTGCAGACGTGCATGACTACATGTGTCACGGCAAAGACCAGAATTCAGATAGAGGGTGTGCATTTGAATACGTGTGACTTTGCATGTGGGTGTGTGAGTGTGCAGGTGCTCTGAAGTCAGAGAGAGTTTGTGTGTGAGAGAGAGCGAATGGCCATTGTACAGACACCACGGCCCCTCTCCTCTCTCTCACACACGCACCTGCACCCTGCAACGGAGAGGCCCGCTGCTGGTGACTATGATTTATTCATTATCTAGGATCAAGACAAACAACATCAAACCAATGTACTACAGCAGCCCTCTCTACCTGTTAGCTCCTGGTGACTGGGAGCCATTGTGAACAGAGTTAAAAGAGGAACAGAGAGAATTCATGGAAGTACTTTACACTAAGTGCAATGAACACTGTAATTACTCGCGTTACAACATTGTATTAACATGTTACACTGCACTTCTGTGTAATGTTCCACTAAACCATAGTGTATAATACAAATAACTGGCTGATTTAGTATAATAATGAGAATGAAGTATAACATGTAAAAATGTATGCACTCTAACTGTAAGTTGCTCTGGATAAGAGCGTCTGCTAAATGACTAAAATGTAAAATGTATAAAGTCCATTCATTGCCTTACGAAATGCAACATAGTGGAAATGAGTTCATGTACAAAAACATACTAATAATGCCAGAGCAAAGTCATGGCAATAAAGAAAACAAAGACAAGACATAAATATATATATATATATTTTTAAACACTAACATCAGGAACACATTAAAGTACATTACAACGCCACAGCATAAGATTAATACCATGCATATTTAAAACGATCATTCTTATTAAGGGACCACCTGATTTAGGCTCACACATGGAGTGGCACACAGAAAGCTTGATCACCTGACCTGTGGCATTTTGTCTGAGGTGTACAGAATGGTGTGTTATTGTTTTTACTATCAAGGACCACTTTGGAAACAAGTGTTTTAATTAATGCTTTCAAGTGATATCATCTGGGTCCACATTGTACATTTTGCTGTATATATCTGTTACCCAAAATAAAGTAAATTCAATCATTGGAGAGAAACCTGCAAGGATAACACTTTAGTTAACCTCCTGCAGAGCTGAGTAGTATAACAACATGGTGCAAGACCATGAGTGCCTTGTATGTCATCAATGGCTTCTTCTAATTATGCATGACCTATTGGGGCGTCGTCCCAGTACAAACATTTTAGAGAGTGCTTTATACATAGCTATGCACTAATGTGGATATAGGACCTTGAAGGTCAGAATTTTGCCAACAAGTGAAGTCCTGCCAAGATGTAACAGGCAAGGACAGGGCATCCCCATACATAAAGCATCAGCCAAGGACAATGGTTGGCTTGAACGTTTACTAAATTGACCAAAGGAGAAACAATGCTATTGCAATGTTGTTACAATGGGCCAAAAAAGAAAGAAACAAGCCTACATTCACTCCACATTTGCAAACCACTGCCGAGACCAAGTCGGAAACAAGAAGGACTACCATAATGACCACAAGCAGGACCCTGGTTCAAATTGAGAGTAGGATGTCATTAGCTTTACATCATGAAGGCAACATGCCTCTGAATAACTGAGCGTCATTATTGGTAACAAGCTCTGCAGGTCGAGACTGGGTCAGTGAATAGAAAACGAATTAAGAAGGTGTGACTGACAAACTATGTTTACCTGGAATATGTAGTGAGGTATTTCTTAGCCAGATCTGACACACCGTAGGAAGGACAGAAAAAAAAAAAAAACTACTGCAACATGACATGTAATTTGTAAACAAGAAAAATAACACAGTCTAACATTTAACAGTGATGGTGAAATTAACTCTAACTAAAACCTATTCTAGACTAACTGGTCAGTTACATCATCAGAGCCTGATAGCAACAGTGCAGTTAAAAGCCCTAAGGCAAGCTCCTCCTAAACCTGTATACAGTATCTACTGTAATCCTGAAAATCTTTCATCTTATAATTGTAAACGATATACCTATTTGATACCATTTTAAAAACGTAAAATATCTTCATTACAGTCTCTGGATTTAACTACTTCCAGGTAATATGCTACAGAATGTCCTCACAAAGATCAGATGTCAGAGATGAGTAGCTGTCTACATGCTGTGAGGCAGTACACACCACAGTAAAGTACATACAGACATAATGTATCTTCTCTGTAATGGATATAACAGCATCTGGGGAGAGTAATTGTGATGCATTATGTCTCTGCATGGCCTATACACATGAGAGCTCTGGGGGGGGGGGGGGGGGGGGGGGGGGGGGCTGCTGCTCTACAGGGAATGCTGTGTGAGAGGGCCTGGGTGATGTGTTATTCCCCATAAAGATGAAGGTTAGGATTTGGGAAGGGTAAGCTGACCCTAGATCTGTGCCAGCGGGCAACTTATACCCCCAGGCCAGCATACAGCAAATACAGTATTTGTTCATGGAGGCTGATTGGCTAGAGGTCACATGGTCAGCAGCGATAGGACACCCAGTTCCTCCAGCTTGGCCTTGGCTACCGCCTCCCAGCCCTTATTGGCCAACGGGTTCCTGGGGGATGGGTGCATGATGCCCTCCACCCGTACCTCCATGCCCGCTGCAGAGAGGGCTCGCCGTGCTCGCTGCTCTGCCACTCTGCCAACCCCAATCACCATGGTGACGCCCAGGGCAGCCACAGCCTGGCACAGTGCCATGTCACAGAGAGCCAGGAGAGCCTCACGTTCCCCAATGACCAGCTCGGGGGGTGTCAGGTTCTTGCCGGTGGTACCCATGAACATAAGTGGGCACAGGTTGTGTACAAAGAAATGGCGGAAGAACACAGCTGGCTCACCACACAGCTTGCGGAAGAAGCCCCAGAAACGGGCGCCGCTCACTTCACTCTGAATGCAGTCTAGGCCTTTGATTAGTCGCTTTGGGTGCTCCGAAGGGGGATGTCCCACCTCCCCAGTGATTTTCAGCCAATCACGGACATAGTTCACCTCACCAAAGGGGACCTGAGAGCAGAGGAGGACTGATGATTAGGTGGATAATAATACTACTCTATTTTACCCTGACTCTGATCAGATTCAAACTGAGTGGACAATATTGTTGACTTATTCTTCATGTGTACCCCTTATTCCAGACATTTCCATTCTGCAATGGTGAAGATGAGAAAGTGGTAATTACCAGTATTCACACATGATAAAAGTTTATATTATTCTCTATCAACCAAAAGTTCTAGGAGGCTACCATTTACCTTTTGCCAGCAACGACCTGGGAAAGAGGTGCCTTGAATGGAAGTAGGCTAACAATGTAGCTAACAAGTGGGAGTTGTTGCTCTCTCTCTCTCTTTGGCCTGCCTGCACATCCTTACCCCGGTCTGAGCCATGCCGAAGGGTCCCGGGTTCATCCCCAGAAAGAGAATACTCTGTCCGCCACGACAGTACGTCTCAACGAAGCAGCGGTGCGGTTCCCAGGCATACTCCAGCGGGTTGTAGATGTAGTGCACAGGCTCATTGAACGACAGCCGGCGAAGGTGAACGTTCAGCTCCAACTCCACGTGCAGAAAACGGGAGGCTACCGTGGAACCGTCCAACATCGACCCCGGACCCAGAGTGAGTGAACAAACGTTGTTCTCATCCGGTTCGTGTTTCTCCGCATCTCCCTCTCCAACCCTGCGGACAAATAAATAAAGCAATGCCGGTACTTAGATTATCAATAGGAATGCTAACTCGGTTAGCCCTCAACGTTAGCGGCTATTAAATTGCAGTGCCACATCAAATGTACGAGTTATTTTAAAGTAGGCATAATATATTGCACAGGTCCCCTTATAACAGAACGGCTGCATTAATGTCCTTAAAAAAGCACCTTTGTCGCTGTAGTTGCACTGTACCTTTGGAGTTCATGTGTGTTCATCCTGAGCGGAGGTTTTCCGGGAACAAAGACAAGCAATTGCATTCTGGGAATAGTAGTTCCACGCAGATAGGCGACCAACCGTTCTTATTATACAGTAGCTCAGTGCTACCAACGAAGGTGATGGTTTCTGTTTTATGTAAACAGCTCCACCTATCGTCGACTGCACTAGCACCAAATGGCATGTTTCTACGGGAACACAGAAGTATGCCTATTTTATTCTGGGTCAAAGCTCAATGGCTTTCCGTCTCTGTCATAGTGTCTTCTGATCTGCACCGCGAGGGATATGACAAAAGGAAACACATATACGCACAATCCATGCACGTGCACAGGGTTGGGGAGTAACTGATTAGCCTACATGTAATATCTTACATGTAATCTGATTACTAAAAACGGTACTACCTGTAATCAGTTACTTTACCAGCAAAAATATTGTAATCAGATTACAGATACTTTAGAAAAACTAGATGATTACTTCTTGGATTACTTTTAAATTCATCAAATATGTTTTGGGAAAAAATACATTATGACACCTTTCTGTTTTCTCAATGACATTCAATTCAGCATTGAAAAAAGGTGCAAGTTTAAGTTTCTTCCACCTGATCGAGCCTGACCACAAGTCAGAGACAACTATGATGACACACCAAATGCATTTGATGGATCCTTTTTGTCTTTTTCTAATGCATCTTAAGGGAAAAGTAATCCAAAAGTAACTGAAAGTATTACGTAACTGAGTTTGGGTAATCCTAAAGTTACGTTACTGATTACAATTTTGGACAGGTAACTAGTAACTGTAACAGATTACATTTAGAAAGTAACCTACCCAACCCTGCACGCACACACACACTTAAATGGGTAACATTACATACACAAAAGCTTAAAGGAGTGGCTATAGTGAATAAGGTAGTCTGTTTACTTAGAGCCATTCTCTCTCTCTCTCTCTCTCTCTCTCTCTCTCTCTCTCTCTCTCTCTCTCTCTCTCTCTCTCTCTCTCTCTCTCTCTCTCTCTCTCTCCCTCTCTCTCTCTCTCTCTCTCTCTCTGTCCTTTGCATGACCTCGAACATGGAGAAAGTAGAATTAGCAAAGCTTTGACCCTCATATCAGATGAACGCTACCACCGATCTTCATTTTCGATGTTACTAATGGGTAATTGGTTATCACTGACGTGTGTCAGTGTTATCTCCTGTCCTCTGAGACTTCAGGTCAAAGGTTTAACACGCTGCTACAGTTTATTTTTAATTAGCGACATTTATGTAATTACTGTTTGCATTAAAAGCTTCCTTCAAAGGTTCGTAGCACGGCTATATTGCACAAGCCGACCTTCCACTTTATTCAATATTTGTCTACAATATCCCCTAACCATTTCAATGGCCTTCTTGACTGTCCGTGGCAATCCTAGGTGAAATTTGATAAATGTTTCTACAGCACTTTATTGATGAAAGATAAAGAGAGAGAGAGAGATACACCTGGAGGAAGAGTAGGAAATGGGGGAAATTTACAAATAGAAAGAGAGGGAGGGAGAGAATGCAGTAAAGGATTGAGTGGGAGAGATGACAGGGGTGTTACATTTGAGACCGGGACTCCAGCTCCTCTGTGCAGCCAGTCTAGTGCTGTTGCCATGGCAGCAGCAGCCCTGTATCTGCAGTGCAGGCAGAGAGCCTACAGTCCCCAACAACACACACACACTCACACACCCCTCCCACGCCTGAACTGTAGCTGAACCTGAGTGAGGTCATAGGTCGGACGGCTGGGAGCATATGGGTGACAGTGAGCGATGAGTAGGGGATAGAGAAAAAGAGGGTGCAAGTGAGGGAAAGAGAAAGAGGAGGATGTGCCACACAGATGGGGCGAAAGGGGACTGAACAGAATCTAATTATCATACAGGGGGAAAAAGATAGTATTGACAGCGGAAGGGTTTCTGCTTGTTTTGCCATGAAAAAGGAGGCTTCTTTGTTTTTTATTATTCTTCGGGGTGGGGGATGCTTATTCTTTATTTTTTGATGGATATGTGGGTTTAACAAAGGATATCAAGTACAGACACTTCATACATTTCACCATGGATCATTTCACCCGTGTGTGGAGTGTGCATGTATCTCTATGAGTGTGTGTTTGGCGTCTTCTTGTTGAAGATGAGTGAGGATTGAGGGAGTGTGTGTGGAACTTGTTCCTGTTTGCGAAATGAGTTTGCCTGCATGTCTGTGTGCATTCTGCGTGCATTTGTCTTTGTGCAATGTCTCACAATGGTGCTAGACACGACACGTGTTTGAGCTGTGTGTTGTTCACTCTACCTGTCCTGCCTGCCTCTGTACACACTGTGTACGTGTGTGCGCGCGTGTGTGTGTATTGTAAGTGTGTTTGCATATCTATTCATGTATGAGCGGTACACTGATAGATGAGTTCACTTGACAGATGGTATTTACACATCCCCCTGTAATTTCCCCCATCATGCTCAGGGTGTGTGTGTGTGTCTGTGTGTGCGCGCCTGGTGGGTGTGTGTGGGTGCATGCATGTTTGTGTGCCTGGTGCCACAAACCTGGTTAATGTTATATTCTCAATTGCCATGAAGTACCAGCATATTCAGTTTTTGTAAACACAAACCGTGACATGTCTTGGTTTCTGGTATTTGGTGGTCAAGGTTACAGGTAGTTAGTTGTCTGACATTGACGTGTCAAATGAAAAACTAATTCGAAAGAGCTTACCTCTCATCTGACCTGGGTGCCTTGGATAGGCCTGTACACACAATAAAGAAAACACACAATATTAACACACAAATAAGGTTTTGTACAATCACACTATCTTAGGGTGGGATTCAATCCAATCGCAGGTTATAGGCATTGGGGATTTTAAAGGCAATTTCCGATTGAGCCAACATATGCAGTGTTAACCATGAATGGGATCTCCGCAAATGCGGGAACATTGCCTTTAAAAGCCGTAATACCTATAACCCGCGATCAGATTGAATCCCGGCCTTAGTATCTTAGTAAGGTATAATCATCCTCTCTAAGATATGAATGGAGTAATGCCATACAGTCTCTGTCAGGGTTTCTAGCTGGATCTTATCCAGGAGTGACTTGGATACAGTAGGGTCAAAAGAGTTCCCCGTTGACCCCTCATCTTACTAAGGGGTCAAACAGTTGAGGTCATGGCTGCAAGTCTGTTTGTGCAGTGTCCTAATATTTAGACATACACAGTGTTACCATGGATTTGTAAATTAGAATACACTATTTTTTGACAATAACTAAATGCTCATCATAAAAATAACAATCAAATTATCATTGTTATCACTGTTGACAATATTGGCATTAAGAATAATATTCATACTATTAACAATAATATCATTGTTTCATTATCATTAGTAGCAATAGTAGGAGTGGTATTTAGTCAGTTCTTGATCACTAATAGCTGCTGTAAAAACAAACATTATGGACATTTTTAGGAAGCAGAGAGAAGAGGATTGTATACTGGAGCCTCCATAGAAAATGAATCACAGAGTGCCCTCTAGTGGCCTGCTGATATCTCATTATTACCTACAAGGGCTAATTGTTAAGTGGTATGATGTTATTGCAACACATGCAAGTGTCATAGAAAATGTCATGTTCTCACATAATATTCTCTCTGGCTCTCTGTCTCTTCCTCTCTCTCTCTTTCACATTAACTTGATGCCCTTCAGTCCTCCCTATCATTCCCTCCTGTGTCGTCGTCGCCCCCCCCCCCGATCCTCGGTCACAGCCTCTAAACATATTAGGGAGGTACAGGCAGACATCCACAGGAGCCTCTCCATCCATCAGAACACAGCCAATGGCTTTAGCAGGGCTCCCTGGGCCCGGCTGGGATTGGTGTACACCGAAATGTACAATGACCCAAAGCAACCACACATACACATTCGTAGAATGGATACACACACACACACACACACACATATATATATATATATATATATATATACACACACATACAGGTATGCCTCATTCCAAGTCATCTAACAAGTGCAAAGTGGTGCTCAACCACACATGCATGCTCAACCACACGCATGTTCAACCACACGCACACACACTCCCCCCAACTGTGAGCTCTATATGCTCTATGGCTAGAGATTGGATCAGGGCAGTGAGAGGGTCATCATCCGTTCTGCCTCCCGGTGACCATGCCATGACCCCAACTCTCTCCCCCCACACACTACCCCAGACAACTCTCCCTCTCTCTGCACTCCAGTCGATACTGTTCTTCCAAATGCCAAGCCTCTTGTTTCCATTCAGCACTGCCTAATGAGTCCTTTACAAAGTCATCAGCTCTACTGCCCTGGCTGAGGTGAGCTAGAGGCTTCTGTCAAATCAGGAAGAAAATGTTCATCAGGACTAAAATCCATTATCTGTTTTCTAATATCGATTGTCTTATTATGGTCAGTGGTAAACCAATAATTTTACTATCTGTATTGTAATGTAAGGTTTTGAAAATAAGGTAAATATGTTACTGGTATGTGGTAATGAGTAATCTGATTGAAGTACTATAATACTTTATTGTTGATTTCCCTGTGTATTTCTTTTAAAGTCAAGACCTGGGTAACAGGAACTAGGTTTTCCCCTGAGCTTTCAGAGTGATATCTAAGCTTTTTTCAAAAATATTTCCCTTTCTACCTAAGCTATCATATGCATTAAGCCAGTATATGCTATTATACCATCATTTTATGTGCACTGACTATAGATAAGAGCAACAGCTAAATGAATAAATGTACAGTAAGAGCATCAGTGAGGTCTGATTTGATCTCCAGGCCAGGCAGACTAAACGAATGCAGATCCTGCGTGGTGCCTGGTGCAGTGAACACAGGATGTGAACCACATGCTCTATCTGATGATGATTAGGCTGTGCTCCTGGATTACCCTGTCTGTCACACCACTCAACTCCTACACCACCAAGCCTCTGTTTCATCTTTGAGTGTCTTCCGCTGCCCGCACCGGGCTGTGAATACCCACGGAGTGTGTGTGTGTGATTACTTTGGGAGTACATATTTGCGTGCGTGTGTGTGCATGTCTGTGTCTTCCTTCCCT